TTTTAGTGCTTTCGTCAAAAAAAAAAAAAAAAAAAAAAAAAACTGTTAGGTACTATCACTAAACATTAGGCTTTTAAAATGAGATATTTAAATAAAGCAGGGACAAAGATTGCAATTGTGAAGGCACAACTAGCCAAGCGAGCATTCAAATAGGTGCTATAAGCCTGCCATCATCTTCGATAGCGGAGCGGCAGTTTTTCCACCTGCGTCGAGGAAGTTAGGGTTCAAGTCTCATTAAGAGTCCAGATTTACATAAGACATCTATAACGAATGTGTATTTAATGACATTTGCCTATATATGTATGTATTAAATAGTTAGTTCACTGCGTGCAAAAAGCTAAATCCTTGTCTTATCAAACAATTATGAAACAAAAACAGTACAGAAAAAAAATTCTTAGCTATTAATTAATTATCTACCTTTTTGCCAGATATGTGTGAATACAATTATTATTTCAGTACAAATAACATGAGCAGTGGAAGACGAGATAACATAGAAACATGCCACAAATTTGGCATTAAATCTTAGAAGATGCCACTCTAATGACTCATCTACTTTCGTCCATGCGAAACGTGAAAACAATTCATTATTTTGATGTTATCCTTCTTTTTATTACTGTGCTTATCATTGATACTTTGTTGTTTATTTGTTATGACCATAAATGCGAATTTACTCGAATAATAGAGTGGCAGTTTTTTTTCCGAAGGCCATTTCAATTGCTTTAGTTATACATAAAGCTTTATTTGATGCATAATTTTATTACTTCTAATAGCTCATACTCTTAATTGGTTTATTTCTTCAATTGTTCACACGCTACAGCGAAACCACCCAAACATACTACCATGGTTCTATATGATTTCTGTCTTCTGTGAAGGCGGTCGCCTTAGAAAATATAATCATTAACCCATTGAATACCAATCCTAATTCCTTTCGGAAATACTGTCACTTTAAAAAGTGGTCGCCATGAGAGATTTCGATGTATTTAATATTGAAATATATGCTGAAATTGTTCCCAGAAAGCGAAGTTTCTTTATAAATATTACTAATTTGATAGAAACATAATTTTGTTGTGATTGTGGAAAATCGTACTTCATTTCATATAATTTCAGTTTATACTCTCCCAAAACTATTAATGTTTTCGGTCTTTCATATATTTCTAAGTAAAATATTCCATGGAATAACTTATCAAGTTATTATACCTTCGTTAAAATAATACTTTCTTTCAGAAATAAAAATTTCATCCGTCTGTTTACAATTTACAGTATTTTCAACAGGCGATTCATTAAAAAATTCTTCAGATCATTCCATTTCATCTCCCTTTTCCAAGAAGCTGGAATACACAAGATTTTCCAGGAAGCTGAAATTTTTCCATAGGAAAAAAAAATATAAAAATTACTTCTCAAACCAGTCTTTTAGTGGAGTTTGCGAACTTCTTAAAATGTGTACGTGAGGCACGATTATCTGATAACTGAACATGTATTTTATTTTGATAAAAACGTCTTCATGGCTTCATAGAGTGGCACTACAAAATTCATGTTAACTATATTTACAAAATCCAGAAATATTTAAAGAACGTGGGACATGTCCGGTAACGAGATACTTCATTGAAATGGTGTTCTGTCCTGCACAATCCGGAATGTCTACTCACATTAATCAAAAAGCATGCATATCTTATGGAAATCTTTGTTTTCCTATTAGATACGTTCACAAAGAAGGAAAACTTAACAGCCCATTTGAAATATTTTAGCGATGAAGCAACACGAAGATATAAAATAATTTTAATGCTGGAATAAAATTTTAAATAAAATAATAACACACAATTCAAAGACTTAAGGCATTTGTAACAAAGTTAAAACAATCGCAGGTCAGCTCTATCGGCTTCTCTTCGGGAAAAGTTATTGAGAGTTACGATTACTAAGCTATTAAATGTAAGCACTAGAACATATCTTCTTAACACTAACTAACTTCTAACAATAGATAGCATTAAAGCTACTGGAAATTTAAAATTAGAAGGCATTCTTTTAAACTGTACCATGAACTTAAAAATAAAACATATGTTAGCTTCAGGCCGTAAAAACATTAATTTCCAGCCTTGATTCGAATCCCGACGAACAAAAAGTCTGACGCATGTGCGTTTTCCTGCGTTTCACCATTTGTAACGGGAAAGCAAATAATTTTACCTTAGGTCATCCACGAAGGTATCCATTCCCTCAGGCAAATTGCTATACTGATTAAACAAACATTAATACCATTTTAAATATTTAAAGAGAAAGCCTTGGCTTTAAATAAGTTTTATGATATTTTTATCGTAATCTTATATAATCAGTAGAATGATCTAAACAATGATTTATAGTTTTTAAATGAAGAATGTTAAAAAATACCTTTCTCATAAATAGCAAATACACCGAAAGGTGAATAGTAATGTAATTAATATAAAAAGCCTTGTATTATATGAGTTCTAGCTAGCTTTCTTAATAATTCAATTTTCCTACCTTTAACGAAGTAAAATCATCAATATTATTTTAATTCTAGTTTACTGATTTCTTCACATTCTCTAGAGAGAACAGCCATGCAAAAAGTGAAGATCTTACGAAGTTTGTTGAAGCTTCTCTTTTCTAGACTGGAGATCTCTTACCCTTTAAAATGTTCTGAATTCAGATTTAAAATTTCATTATGATTGATCTAAATTGCATTCGCGATATCCTTAGAAGATCTAAATTTTTAGCAGCTTATAAACCAGATGAATCATGGCTTTTAAAATTAAATGAAAAGTGATAATTCCTTTATTATGCTTGCTTATTTATTATGTTTGAGTACATTCAAAATATGCAAGATGCTTATTTAAAGAAAGAATGCCTTTGTGGAGAACTTCCTCGGAAAACTAGGGGCATTTGCATTACAGATTTGAAAATTATGGAAACACCCATCATGTAGTCGGCCCGTTAATCAGGATTCGAACACAGGTTAATCATTGTATTAAGACTGCAGCTTTAATGTACGGTTGCGGACTGTTTTTTTTTTTATTTACCTTTTCTGTTTCTTGCAGTATTAAATTTGAGGCAAATTAGATACAAAAAATTTATATTTATTTGTTTCAACATAATATTATTTTCAGCATTTTGTAATGATTTGTTATTTGATAACTTATCTGACGCATTAATATAAACGTTAAGCAATAAAATGAGATGAAAATTATATAAAATAAGATATTGATTTTTCATTCTCACTTTAAATATTAAATAAACAAACCAAATCGAAAACTTATTTAAATAAGTTAATTAAACGAGGATTTTCGTGGAGACCTAAGGGAAACTGGATTGTGTTCATTTTACACCGTAGAAAAAACATGAACTTGTTCGTTAAAATTTCAGCAAGGTCGTACAGTTAGTCCTCAGTGGACTTATTCACTTGGCCACGGAAGCCTTTACTTATTACAGATCATTACTAAAGTGTTTTACTTAGTTTTTATTTTAACTAAAATATTAATAAAAAACTTTTATCATACATTTTGTTACAGTTATTTTAACTAAGCAATTCGTGTTCAGTATCACTATCACCGATCTGAGAAATATTGTTCTCGATATTACTAATATGCGATAATATCGGTGTTTTTACAATCTTAACATAATACCAGTTACCGCAGGATAAGCCGAGATGTTTTATCTTAATTTTTCACAATAGAATTCAAACTTTAAAACTTCCTTGCTTATACCTTTGATACTATAAAAATTCATTTTGTTGTTTAATTATAAACAATAAAACAAATCAAAAAAAGTCTTGCTTAACCTTTCATCTTTACATTTCAGACTTAACAGAAGATGAAATAAAGATGACGATTGATTCTTTTTGTGGGCTAGCAACAATTATAGCTATTTCACCAATAGCAATAAAGGAATCCAACTGCAGTGTATTGAAAGCAATTAAATATGGGCGCATCAGGGACAAAATTTCAAATTCTATGTTCATCCTACGGCAAACTTCATAATAAAAAACGTGCAAGCCAAAAGAAACAGGAGGAAACAGAAAGAAGCTGATAGTTACGTTTAATTTATAGACATCTGCGCTTCATCTCGCGATACAAATCCAACGAGCTGCTGTGTTTGAGATCTGGTGAAACAAATTTTAAGCGGAAGTTCTAATTGGAAAGCTTTTTATGACGAAGTAATAGCACTAAGAGCCGCAGTTTAAATTAAAAAGAGACAGAAGAGGAAATTACTGATGTGGCTTATGAAGAGCATTACCATATACATAAATCAACTTTATTATCTATTAGTTATTAAGTCTCCGCTCAATTCAGCTTAATTATTTATAATACAAAATTCACCTTAATTCCTTTTCAAAAATTAATGGAAATCGTTTGGAAAAAGATGTGAACTAGAGAAACGCGACTTCAGTGAAATAATAATGCAATCTTTTGGTAATTTTGCTGAAAAATTTGTGTTATCATTTTCTCACATTTGAATAATTTTGCTGCTTATTATGTTAATAGTATAATGAGTCATACGGTGAGGCTTCGTCATGCTGGAGAAGACGGCTGCGAAAGATAGCCAGTAGAAATCAGACAGACGCCCATACAGCAACGAAAGTGAAAACAGTATCGAGAATATAATGCTTTCAAATCATTGTAAATAGTGTTAACAACGTTTTAATTCTTAATACTTGACATAACACAGAGAATGAAAAATGTATCAAGCATGAATATAATATTTGAAAATTGCCACAAATAATGTCAATAAACTTTTAATAATCGTTTAAATAATCTTTTTCAAAGTTGAAAATTAACAACTGTAATTTTTGTAAAACCTTTCGTATCCAATTTGGTCTCCTTTCCAGCTGTTGACTTGAAGCATGTACCTCACTTGGTTTACCCTTTCCTGGCTCTGATACAAACACCCTTAAAATATGCATTGGATATATGAATTTAAAACTAAAGGTATTAATTAAATCTGTGGCTAAATATAAACACCATTTTATCCCATTCTGAATGCAAGATACGAAGCAATCGAGCAAATGGTAAATTTATTCACGAATCCATCTTATCTTTGACATCAGTTTTCCTACCAGTCAGCCAAGAAGATAAACGTAATTCAGAAATCACAAATTTCCTCAACCTCTTGATATGTATTTATTTAATCGAAACTGAAGATCTCAATAGTTGAAAAAGAAGTTTTTTTCATCTTTCTTCACACTTCACAAAAACACATGCCAATGTGGTTTCTGAGACAATATTCCTTTGCCTATGAAAGAAAGAGGACAGTAGTTATAAAATTACTCTTAATAAACGAAAAACATACACATAATACATACGTGGCGTGGTAATTTGGTGGCGTGGCAAATGCGGTCAAGAGCAGGAGACTGACGTTAATTACGGAAGGGGAAAGTAAACGGCTGTGTCAGGGATCATAAGGGAAGATATATTTTTTTTAAAAAGTGTTTTTTGGCTAGTTTATACATTCAAAGGAAAATACAAGTTACTCACTGAACTTCGCACATTAGTCTGAATAACCTTTAAACCCGATGAACAGTACATTTGTGTGACAAGGCGAGCTTTCTGACTGTACAATCTGTTTTACATTTAGCGAGCTTGTGCCGAATAAGTTTATTCGCTATTTTATGTAATTTCTGCAATATTTTGTAATTCTTTTATTTTTTTCATTTAAATTTTATTTTTTTAAAGATAATTTCTTTTTATTCACAAATATTTATATTTTCTATTTTTCTAATAAGTGAAACATTTAATTAAATTCTGATATTTTGTTTTCATAAGATAAAGCACGAAACCTTTGTTAAAATTTTCATAGCTCACTGTAGTTCAGTGACCGTATTTTAATGTGCCATTTTATTCGCGAGTCCATTCATCCGATTTGAAACTTGGGAATGAATTAACAAATCGATCTTTCCATTCAATTGGTCCTATCGACTTGAATACAGTGAGCCTGAGTAAACGGGAAGTATCTTTCGTAAATATAAAAACCATTATAAGCGCATTTCTAAATAATAATTTTAAAATATAATTTTCACAGCTGTTTGACGCTGCTTTCATTTCTTAATTATAAATACAAATATATGTACTGAAAATTAAGAAGAGAATAACACATACGTATCTGTTATTACGAGAATAAGTATTGCTAATGTAAGCAATAGGGCTTGAAAACTCATTTTGATTCACCTTTCTTTTCTTTATGAATGACGAATATCTGTTTTGCCATACACGTGATCAAATAGGGAATAAGTGTTTAATCCGTAAGATTATAAGTATTGATTAACATTTCATATAACTACTTTTAATTGAAGCTTTTTAAGAGCAACCCCCTTAATTTTGACTCGCAGCTTTTAATTTTAGACTAGGATATGAGCATAGAATCTACCTTTAAACAATGGGATTTTTTTTTAAAACACTGTGGCATGACAATGCCTAGTAATAATAGTTTTAGCGTCACTAAGAAATCATTTTCTGGATTCTCCATATTGATTTTTTTCCAAAAGATATTAAAAGCTGCAATTGACGAGTATGAGCAAGCATACATACATACATATATGTATACGTAAGCATACCATAAAGAATAATGAACCCCAACAAAAGCTGATCGACTAATATTGAACTCAGGTTAAACCCTATAAAGAGGGGTTTATCAGAGGGAAAATGGCAATTAACATTATACTGGCAAATCAATTAAAATTCCATTTAATTGATTTTAATTATTTATTTACTGTATCGATTTATATTACAAATTATAATGGATTGGAATATTTGAATATGAATTAGCTGAATATTTTAAGAAAAATATTATGACTGCGAGAATAGGAAAAAAAAAAAACATTTTTTGAATATTTACTTTCTTATAGAATGCAGATGAATTCATTTTTACTCAATGAAAATCAAAATTTAGTAGCTAATTAATCTGTCTGTATCGAGCAACTTAGTTCAGTGATCCGTATTAATGTGCGCATTTTTTTTAAAAAAAAAATTTAAATGCTTCAAGAATAATTAGAAAAGGGCATAACTCTCTTCTTACCCTTAAATTCTTCAATAAAAAAACTGCATTTTCAGCTATAACCAAGTGAAAATAATTTTCTAAATATAATTCAAAGCATGAAAAATAAGGTACATAAACAACTTGGAAATGGAACTAGCATTGAGATTCTCTTTAAGAAATATTGGTGAAGCTTAACAGAAAACTCTACGAAGTGAAGTAATTCCGTAGAATATTTTTTAACTCTTTATGATTAAATTGCACTCAATTATACTTTATAAACGGACATGTAAATAGTGATTTAATGTATATGTGTGGATGTGTGTGTGTGTGTAGCTCACTAGCGGCTGAGTGGTAAAGCTCGTTAAAACCCTGGCAGGTCGATCCCGGGGTTCGAATCCGGATCGAACGGGATGGCTGTATTGGCGTTTTCGAGGTTTTCCCCACGTGTAACGTGCATAAGAGTCAGTTTTTGCTTAGAAAGTTCTCCACGAGGCACCCTTACCCTTAGGCAAATAACACTCGAATGCTTTGCTATAATCAAAGAAACCAGACCAAACAATAGATATAAGTAGCTTAAAAACTGCTATATTTTACGTATACTTATCAAGTAATATTTCAATATATATAATGATTAAAATAAAGGAAAAAGTAGGATCTTAACTGATTGTATATAAAGTAATCCCTATGAAGGCCCTAACAATTCTTTCTCACTTAAAGTCGTAACCCAAAAAGAGAACAAATTAAACTTCAGATACGTATACAATACTGAATCTAATACAAAAAATACAAAAAATAAAAATAAATTATATATGTACGAAACCCTAACTAATTTATATTGATATTACGTAAATATACGTATGGTAATGAACATTGTATAATAAAGATATTTTATACCTTGTTCTATATTTGGTTCCATTTATATATACCTATACATAGATATATATAATTTAAGGATTCCATTTAAGGATTATAGTAGTAGTTAATACTACTACATATAAAACACAAAAAGTGCATCAATAATGTATCTTTCAGTATTATTTAACTTCCTTCTTAAGAATTTTCTGCATTATAGTTTGCGTTATTTTATTCTAAGTCTCAAATAAAAAAACTATTGTTTATATGTCATTAGAAAATTAACCAAAAAGCAGCGACCACAATGTAATTGAGAAACAGTCCTTAGCAGTGAAAAGGTTGAAAGCCATTCGGTTATGACTATTATCTCACATACTCAGCTACTTCGCATACATGGAACATAGCATTCGAAATGAAAAACTCAATATTTACTACAAATTCATTCGTGTAACAAATATCTGTCTTTCTACACCTATTGCTTTAAAAAAAGATGTTATTTATCTTACAGTTTATCCTTAAGTAATACATTTTCATTGTACAAAATTGCATTCATTCGAAGAATTCAATTTGTATTTTCCTCTGTATAAAACTGAATGTAGAGAAGTTAGATGTTTAAACGACCCCCAAGACCCCGAGCAAGATTACTCCCTACTTTTCAGCCCCCCTGTGAAAAAAGGGGTTCTAAATTTACGACCTGACCGCATATAAGGGTATTTCATATTTTTACGTTAGACCCCAAGTAGCGGGTCTGTGTATTCCGAAGTACGGAAGTTATTGTAAATAGAGAAAAATAAAGGGTTTTGTATACCCTTCTTGTGTATCCTGTTTAATTCCCACAGTTTTGAACATAGCTTTAGTAAGCTCTCTGTTCCGAGTCAGGTCCTTGCATGTTCCCGAAGAAGGTTAGACGGAACATTGAACCTGATAACTTAACGGTTATTATTTTATGTTAATGAAGAAATGCCGCCTTAGTTAAATTTTAATTGAATAGAAATACGTTTTGAGGTTTATTTAATTCAAATTAAAAATAATTTCACTGTTTAATTCAATATAGAAAAAACAAAAGCAAAATCGTGTCCTTCACTTAAGCGTCTACCTTAAAAATTTCAATGTTTAAAATTAAGCATAAAAGCAACTTACGCCATTGTTTCGTCCTTTACTCAAGTAATAAGATTTTGCACCATTCAACATGGGTTCCAGTTCTCAACCTAACAATGTCAAAAGTTTACGTTTCATCCGATCACTTTCTAATATGTCGGTATTAATTTTTTGAGTTATTTTTATAATTATTTCCCTTCAGCTTATAATGTTTACATCAGAAGTAGTATAAATCTCATCCTTTGTAATTTCCCCTTTAAAAAAAGCACAAGTTATATGTTAGCTGGTTGGATGTTAGTACTCTTGCCGTTTTGGATTATGTCTCTAAAAACTATACCATAATTATTTAAAATTTCGCAGCAAAGTCCATTAGATACACTTTCCCACAAATTTTATAAACATTCCTTATAATGTTCAGAAAACGAAAAAAAAATAGATCAGGTTTGAATGAAAAGTTACGGTAATTTTAATAATCTGGTTGGATCTTTTATTGGACAACCTGTATATTTCTACTTTTCCTCCAAAATTATGAAATCTAACTAAGATATTTTGAGGTTGTGTATTTCCTCTCATATATTTCATCCATTTGAAATTTATGAGAGGTATGGAGTGTAAAGTTAATATGTATCTTGCTAACATTCTAATGATGAACGCTGTAAAAGTTTTCACTATTTATGATTTAAAGATGAAAATTCAGCTTGGCAAGCCATTCGTTTCTAATAAACTGCTTTCAGTTCTGCATCAAAAACATCAAGGGTCTACTAAGCTTTTAAGTTTGACGTCAAAATAAATAATAACTAATTAATGAACAGTGGGAAAAATATATTGTAAAGAATCTTTAATTTAGATTTCGGAAGAGGTATTTTATCCCATTCCTCTTGAATTGCTTACCATTCAAAGGAGGTTGTAGTCAAAGGAGGCTTAAGTCAAAGGAGGCTTGTAGGTCAACGTCTGAACAATCTGCTTTTTGGAAAATCCATGGGTGATACATTAGGAGATTTAAAATGGATATAAGTGAAAGGTACGGCCTTGATACGCATTTCGTTCTATTTTTTCCGTCAGTCAATTTTGACGTAATAAGTAAATTCACAAGCCAAAATTGTTTATAATATATAAAGGTAGGAACTAGTAAAATGATATTAAAGAACAGCACTACTCAGAGTCTTTAGAGGATCATGAAAAATCCCCCTTTTTCTGGAGCACCATTGCTTGCTTTACTGCGAAATTGTAATCTGGTAAGCAGCATGTGGTCAGTTTTATTAGTTTAGCTTAAAATAATCGAATTCTCTGACCCTCCAATGTTTACCCTC